GCCTCCACAGGAAACAGCGAACATGTTGATTGATTGAGGACCACTATAACAACAGCAAAACTATATCAAAACATCTATTTACAAACTCTCACACAACTCGTGCAGTATAATACAAGTCTCATTTATGGTATACATGCTGCGTTTTTAAGTGCCTGGAAAACACGAAGTCTGGCACTGTGTGCAACTCTTGTGCCTATTGTGTGCCAACTTTCAAGAGCACAGAGGCAGTTTGCGTCTAAAGCTGCTAAGTAACCATAACACACACAAGCCCACTTACATGAAATCCTGAGTGCAAAGCTGATCTTCCACCAGGCAATGATTTTTAGTGTGTAGGCCTATAATATTGTCTGTGGGACACATGTAAAGTTGTGGGCAGCCCTGCACTTAAATGATCAACTTCTCCTTCGTATTTCCCATAGACTGATATTACAGAAGAAGGGAAAGATACCTGTCAGTTGTGATTGGTTGTGCGGTGCATGCTGCTGCATTCGAGAAGTTGTGAAAGGCGCTCAGGAACATGTGCGTGTCGCGACGGTGTCACTCTGGCGTTGGAGTGCACCTGACATGCGTCTTCATTAAAAATAATGGATAAGGGGGCACAAAAAACACAGCATGTGTTCACTGCTTTCAAGAACAAAGTGACAGGTTGCGTTTGAAGTTGCTAGGCAACCTGAAGATGCATCATATCCTCCTGAGACCCAGCCCAGCGCATAGCCTACTTACCAGAAATCCTGAGTGCAGAGCCGATCTTCTTCCAGGCGCTGTTTCTGTGTGTGTGACCACACAGAAACAGCGCCGATCTTCTTCCAGGCGCTGTTTCTGTGTGGTCACAGTCTGTCACATATATTTACAAAAGAAGGGAAAGATGCCAGATTGATTGGTTGGTCCTCGTCACATGACATGCAGTGTGCGCTGCTGCGTTCCAAAAGTTGAACTCAGTTTATCTCAGGGTGCACCCGTCCTGCCCTGAAAAATAGCTGCTCTATAACAAATGAAAACAATGACTTTGGGGGCACAATAAGTACGGCATGTGTACGGCTCCTTACTGAGTTATAAGTGGTCATTTTGTGGGTGAAGTCTTTCTTTAATTAACAAAAGCAAAAATGAATGTATGTAGAACATTCCATTCCAAATGAAGTATGCACTTTATAGAAAATAATAACATTAATTTATACACAAGTTTAAACTATTCTAACAAACACTAAAAACATTCTGATGCAGTTTTAAATAAACAGAAAAGAATGGATTGCAGTTTGCTTTCAAACTTAATTGTTTTGTGATAAAATAATGTCAACTCAAGGTTCACTTGCTATTTTTTTCTGAGCTTTCAACTCTGGCTGGGCATTATGAAGAAAAACAAAAATCACAGTATTTTTGACATATATTGATATCGATATTGTGATATATTGTAGTGTTGACTGTTGGTTCTTTTAATATTTACACAGGTTTTTGATAAATAATTATCAGTCATATGGATATAATGACTAAGTGGGTAAAGGCAAATAATAGTACAGCTACAACAGTGTGTTGTGCGTTCAGAGAATTACATCACTATAATGCAGCCTTTAAAACCAGGAAAAGATAACACTTGACAATATCCAAAGTCAAAGATGATATCAGTCTCATATCACGATATCAATATGATGTTGATATATTTCCTAGCCCCACTTTCAACCACATCTCATGGTCTTGATCATTGGATGGAGCTCCCAGTTGGCACTGGAATATATGATGTCAGTAAGACGCTGGACTACATTACATCAGAGAGACTTAAGGTTTTGATGGTAATGAAAATTGGGCTGACAATATTTCAAATGTCTAACAGCATTACAATTTCACATTGTGTGAATGTTAACATCATGACATTTTGCAGACATTGGGTTTCATTCCTCATTCCTAACAATTGACTATTAATAATCTATATCAGTATATCAATATTCTAAGATGATGTTGGCATGAGACATTTGGAAGACATTAGATTTTGGTTACTAACCAACACAACTTAAAAAAAAAAATCCCCCAAAAAAATCAACATGATCTGTTGTCACTATTCTACGTCAAATTGACGTTGGCAATAGATGTCCTGACATTGAATTTTCGTCACCTGATGTCACAACATAAATTCAACCAAATATCAATGCCTTATAATGTTGGTGGCCAGCTGGGGCTGGCTCAAGTCTCATCTGTGACATAACAGGTGGCTGTATAAGGATATGATAAACAGAAGCCTTTTTTAGATAGGACTTGTACAAATTTGCAGGAAAGCCCAATCAGTCTTTTTTCAGCATTGGCAGTATAAAAACAAAATCGGGGAGTGCAGCAAAATGCCGCCTGCCTACTTTTGTTCATACAGAATGTGCCTTTTTCAGGGCAATGGGGGGGCATGAGCAAGTAAAAAAACGTGTAGCTCAGTGTGTGATGTAAACAGCCTTGCTCTGAGGGAAGTTGCGGCTTGTCAGTCCTTTGGCGATTCTCTCATAAGTTGGCTTGTCCTTCACTGTCCCCGTCATTTGCCGGTTAATGGCCTCTTCATTTGCGAGGACAAGGAGGGCACGCAATTCTTTGCCTTCCCAGTTGCTCATCTTTACTGTAGTGTCTGTTTATCCACCACCAGTGGGTTGCACGTGCGGCGTCATCAACAGCTCCTCCCACAAGTCATCAACAGTCCCTCCTGTGGCGGAAGGCCGTCTTGGTCTTTTTAAACTAAAAGGGTTCCGCCAATATGTCTACCCTACGAGGCGGAAAATTGTGCACCTCAGATCAACTCGCCAATCCGGCTCTGTGTGTCTAAACACTTGCAGCTTGCTGGCAAAATGGCCCAACATTTGCCGAAAATCTGGCAGTGTAAAAGGGGCTAGAGATTATCTCTGGTGTCGGATATGAATGTCCAGTGACTCCCAATCCATGACCCTTGACCTCTTTTCCAGTGGATGCAGTGGAGCAGTTTTGGTCTGGTGTTCACTGACTGCTTACAGGGTTCTTGCTCATATTTTAACTGGCTATCTATCAAATTCAGTAAATATGTCCAAGGTTTGAATTTCTGGTTTGAATTTTCTTATGATTTATGGCAAATTATTTTTTTTAACATTTTATGCCACTCAACATGCACATTCCTCTCAAATCATTTTGACTCATTTTCCTGTAAGTACAGTATTTGAGCAAATGCACTTAGGGACATTCTAACAATGCAAACAGGGCCTGCTTGTTTTTTTTGTGTGTTTGTTTGTTTTTATCTTACGCAGTTTTATTGCCAGTTGAAAAATATGTTTGGTCAGTAAAATATTTCAGTTTACCAGCCATTGGCAGATAGAGCAAAAAAAAAAAAAAAAAAAAAAA